CAGGTTTTGATGATTGGTTTTAACACATCCATCAACACAATTTCAACAGTTTTATGAGTTTTTAAATCGCCACCACAGAAGAAACTGGAGCCACATTTACCAATAAAACAATCATCTTTTGACCATCTTAAGATAAGTCTTCACTTTCTCTTATGGATTCCATTGGGCAATGGTGAAAGGTCAATGGCAAACAATATGAAAGCTCTCAGCACCAATACAGTTAATCAAATGACAGTTTGAAGGCACTGGAAAGTAGTTATGGGCTGGCCAAAGATGTACAATCTCATGTTTAAAGGCTATTTTAACAGAACTCCATTTTCACAGTCATGAACTAAATGCAATGGCTGAAAAAAGTCCACTTCTGTGCATAAGAGAACATGTGTGTCTGACAGCAACAAAATTCCACCTATGATTATAAACATGTTTCACTCACAACTTAATGGAGAATGTGAACCATCTTTGCATTGTTTTCCTTTTTTCCTTTCTATCAGAAAATTCTTCAGTGTGTGATCTCTGGGATAAGAACTTGAGAAGGCCAAGGTAGCAGCACCATACACTGAAGGTTTTTCAGGCAAAAGAAAGAAAGAGTAAGGAAAAGGGAAAAAATCAGAAACATATGAACTTGGTGCTGCTCAGCTCTGACTTTTGAATGATTTTTTAAAAAAATACAATCACAAAGTAATGAACAGTCAAGGTGCTAATAACAACAGGAAGATGAAGGAAAGAACTGAGTGGAGTGAGGGAGAGAAAATAGATGAGCAGAAATCCAGAAGGAAATTTAGGGGAGAATGGAGGGATGGAAGGACAAGAGGCCATTGCTTGGGTTTGGAGAATATTATTTATGTATTGTTGCAGCTTTTTGTTGAAAATAAAGAGGCATCAACATTTGTGTAAAGTGACTAGTGAAAGAAAGAGCATGCCTACCCTTTTGTTTCACTTCTTTGTTTCTTTCTGTGTACTCAAGCATTTTTTGCTTCCTTCATGCCTGTAGAAGTCACTTCCCCCTTTTCCCCAAAGTTAGTCGGTCCTTTGTCTCTGGGAAGGGAGCATCCATGAGTTTCCCATCTCAGAATGCTTACATCTAAATATGAGAGCCAGGTTCCCCTACTGAAATCAAGTGGGTTGTTGAGACGTTGTTTTTGTTAGCACAACTATGCAAATAATTTCACTCACTCATTCCAGTTTTGTTGTTCACACTGGGTTTTTTTTATTGGAACCACATCTATGGCCATCTCTGCAAGTTCTTTTGCTCACATGTGTCAGCACCTCAAATAAAGATGGAGTCTATGGACATTATCACACTTGGGCCAGAAAGCGATAATAAAGTGGAAATGAGGCATTCCAAAAATAAACCGAAAATAAACCTTGATTCCGCAAATGGCTTTCACACGTAATTACCTTAATTGAGAAATTACAGTAAGCTCATGCTAACACCACATTTAACGTTCACACACAAGTGAGAAAAGCCCATAAATGTACTAGAAATGATCTTCTTGCACATGCGCAGATAGAGGAATGCTCGCCGTGGAACCATGGGAAAAAGCAGGGAAATGCTCCCAATTGCACATTTGCTTTTCACATTATGGTAAATGCAAAATTACTGTAATTTCGCAAATGCATTTCCTCAAAACTATCGAATTTAAAAAGATCTCAGATACCACCAGTTTCTGTCCAGTTTCTGCGTGACGTCGTGTGAAATCATGAGGCACAAATCCAGTTTCTGTTTGGGATTTGTGTGGATTAACCAGCAGATTTCCCCCGTGTGATAACGTCCATAGATGTAGAAGTATTCAAAGCATATTCAAGGCACAGAGATTTATCCCAGTTTATCTCAGGTTTGTTTGCATTGGTTATTCACACAGCCGATAATGCAAATCTTTTAGGAAAACTGGGGGGGGAGAACAATTATCTCAGGTTAAGTGGGGTTTTTGGTAGCCTCCCAAAAATTTAATTGGATGCATTCAAAATGCATGTGAACAACAAAGATTCATCCCACATTCTACCTAGATTGTTTTCACCATCTGAATAAAACCTAGTAATCTTCTTTTGCTTATCTTCTTTCTTATCCCAAATGGATTTCTTGAGAAAATAAATGTAAGTTTCCTTTTTTTTCTTTTTTTTTCTTCTTTTTTTTGAAGATACAAGAGCATCCTGAAGACAATGGGTCCTTTCCACCCACAAGGGTTTGGTTCCAGCCCCCCCGCCGGGAAAAATGGAGCTCATATTAGTCATGGGGTACACATGTACACACCCATATCACCACATGCATGGGTGCACACCACCACTGACTAATATGGGACAGGGTGATCCACAGTAGCTCCACTTCATGAATTGCTAGCCCATCATTATGGGACCTTGAGCAAGTCACATTTTCTAGGGTGGGTGGGAATAAGTTGCTGTTCATCTTCTGCCTTTCCAGTTTGATAATTCTGCTTGAGAGATACAGAACTAATTCTCAGTTTTCCCAACTGCTTCTTCTATGGTATGCTGTCATC